CTACTCACCCACCATCCATCCAACAAGCATTACCATGTGCTCTGGAAGTTAGGAGTGCATACTCTGTCCTCGGCGATCCCAGACTTCAGTGGTTACATCCAAGCTGTTGGGCTTCAGGGAGCTTTTCACCCTCTCTGTGCCATTTTCCTCATTGTGAAAGGGGGTAATAAAGACACATGTTTCACCTGTGGCTTGTTATGAACATGCAAAAGATAATAAATGTAGCAAACTGTGCTAGTCAGACCTTCTGGTTGCCATGAAGACCTGAGAGAAACAATAGACAGGGGAGAGATTTGTCACCTGTCTTGTTTCTGGGCCCTTTGGGAGGTATAGCACCATGGTGGCGGGAGCCTTGGCCAAGATTACTCATCTCATGACAAGCAGGAAGCAGAGGAAGTTGGTGTCCTTTCATTCCATCGGGCTCTTGTCCTGTGCCCAGGTACCCCCACATTCACAGTAGGTCTTCCTCACCTAATTCAATTCATTCTGGAAATGCCCTCACAGAAACAAGCCAGAATGTGCCTTACTTCTCTCCCCAGGTGGTCCTCAGTTCAGTCAAATTAACAGTCACACCAGGCATGATACCAGCACAGGCCTTGAATTCTAGCACTCTGGAGGCAGAGGCAGGCAAATCTCAGTGAGTTCAAGGCCAGCCTGGTCTGCAAAGCAAGTTCTAGGACAGCCAGGGGTACACAGAGAAACCCTGTCTTGTAAAACAAAACAACATAAAAAGATGGTTCAGTGGGTAAAGGTGCTTGCTGTCACACCTAAAGACCTGAGTTCTATTCCTGGGACCACATGGTAGGTCCTCTGACTTCCACACACATATGGCATTTGAGTCCCCCTTTCCCAACAAAATAAATAAGCATGATTACAATTTTTAGAAAAGATTAACTCAGTACTGATAAATTAAATTCTATTCAGTATTTAACAGATGTCACCCCTCCAGTTTCTTCTTGCCAACTGCCAAGGACGCCGTGTAAGGATTCTGACCTACTTCAGCAGGCCCAGGGAACACCATGCCAGGACCTGTAATAAAAGAAGATCCTACTGGGCAGCAGGAGCTGGCAGCTGTGGAGCTGCAGCTGCAACTATCCCGTGTCTGGGGATCCAGATGGCAAACCCAAGTGGGTGTTGGCTGCTGCAAGTTTTCCAAGGATGGCAGCCTGGTGGATGGAACTGGAAAAATAGGAAGATGCTTGGCTGACAGGAGACCTTTGAGTGGGAGTGGAGAGGAACTTTCTAGAATTGCTAGGGGACTAAGGAGAGGGACCAGCAGTTAGGAACACATGCTGCTCTTATAGAAGAACTGGCTTAATTCCCAGGGCCCACATTTCAGGTTGGAAACAACATGTCACTCCAGTTCAGGGAATCCATCATCCTCTTCTGATCCCATGGCTCTTTCATACATGCGGTGCATATAAACCCATGGAGGTACACACATAAGCACATAGAAATAATACATACATAAACCTTGAAAAAAATTGCTCCCCAAAGCATTTAACCAGTTCATCCCTGGTCAAAACCTAGTTTGAACCACCATTCCCTAACATCTCCTCTCTTCTGTGGTCTCCATTCTTACCCAGCAAAGCAGAGATGCTGACGGTGATGCTGATGGTGATGCTGATGGAGGTGATGCTGATGGAGGTGATGCTGCTGATGGAGGGAGGCAAGGTCTCCTGTAGCCCAGATTGATCCTAGTCTCAGTTTGGGTTTTATTGCTGTGAAGAGATACCATGACTACAGCAGCTCTTATAAAGGAAAACATTCAACTGGGGCTGGCTTACAGTTTCAGAGGTTTAGTCCATTATCGTCATGGTAGAAGCATGGCAGCATGCAGGCTAACTTAATGTTGGCAAAGGAGCTCAGAGTTCTGCATCTTGATCCTTAGGCAACAGGTCTTCCTGTGACTTTGAGCCACTGAGGCTGGTTTGAGCACTCAAAACCTCAAGGCCCACTTCCTAAGTGACACACTTTCTCCAACAGAGTCACACCTAATAGTGCCACTCCCTATGGACGTGTAGGGGTCACTTTTATTCAAACCACCACAGTCCAGTCCAGAACTTTCTGTGTAGTTAAGGATGATCTTGAACATCTTATTTGCCTGTCTCCATCTCCCTGAGGTCTGGGAGACAGGTATGCACACTACTCCCACTTTATGTGATGCTGGGACTTGAACACAGGGTGTTGTGAATGCTAGACTAGCATTCTACCAGCTGGGTTATCTCCTCAGCTTAGCATAAGGGTACTTTTTTTTTTTTAAAGATTTATTTATTTATTATATGTAAGTACACTGTAGCTGTCTTCAGACACACATATGAGGGTATCAGATCTCATTGTAGATGGTTGTGAGCCACCATGTGGTTGCTGGGATTTGAACTCATGACCTCTAGAAGAGTAGTCAGTGTTCTTAACCGCTGAGCCATCTCGCCAGCCCCACGTTCCTTCTTTTTTAATGGTTCTTTGGTTTTTTTTGAGACGAGGTCTATTTATGTAATCTTGGCTGTTCTAGAATTCTCCATGTAGACTAGGCAGACCTGGAATTTACATAGTTCTGCCTGGCTCTGGCTCCCCAGTGCTGAGATGAATTGCTAGAGGAATTGCTTTGTTAAATGGTTCTATTCTCCTGTGTCACTTTGTTTCAGGGTTTGTGCTGTGGTAACAATGGTGAATTTTCCCACTTAAGTTGTTGCCTGTGAGAAGAGGAATTCCAGAGCCATGATGTCATGTTTGCTTAGCTATTCTTTTGTTTTTTGTTTTTTGTTTTTTGTTGTTGTTTTTGGAGACAGGGTTTCTCTGTGTAACCCCGGGTGTCGTGGAACTCATTCTGTAGACCAGGCTGGCCTTGAACTCAGAAATCTGCCTGCCTCTGCCTCCCAAGTGCTGGGATTAAAGGCGTGCACCACCACTGCCCGGCTTGCTTAGCTATTCTATCAGGTCTCTATATCTCTCACACCTTTAACCTTTACTGCACCCTAATCTCTTCCAATCTCCCAACACTAGGTAAGAAAGAAAAAAGGTTAGAGGGGAAAGAGTGTGTGGGTCTCTTTAGAGTACTTCCTGCTGGTTATGGATTAGGGATTGAGTTTCTTGGGGCCAGTCCAATCTTTGTCCTCAGGAGTATTTCCAATTTCTCTTTGCTCATGAACACTTAAACTGCCACAACTTCTATGTCGTTGTCTGCTGCTGCTTCTTCTTTTTCCTCTTCCCTCTCTCCCTCCTTCCTTCTTTCTCTTGGAGTGCCTCTCGCCCCTCTTGGGGCTCTGGCATTTATACCCTCTCCAGAGTCCCCAGATTACATTTCTTCAGCCGGCAAAGACCCTGCCCCTCCTAGAGTACGAGACAATCATAGTTAGTGGGTGTGGACAATCTGAAGCAGTCCCATATCCCATACCTGGGATTAAAACAAAAACATATTCACATAAAACAACTGGGTTTTTAAAGAAATCAAAATTCTCATTATAGATCCAATATGAGTAAAAGTTGGAAATCTGGGGGTTCTGGGTCTTGACCCCTCATCCTTTGAGCCTTCCAGGGTGGTCTTGAACTTCTGATGCTTCTGCCTCTAACTCCCTAATGCTTGTGCTGCCGCACTTGGTTTATGAGTGTTGGGCATTGAACCCAGGGTTTCTTGCATGCTGTGCATACATGCTACCTGGATTTTCAGCAATTCCTTTGGCTGGAATTTGGAAAAGGCCACATTTTAGGTAGAGCCAGGATGAGGATGGAGGTGGATGGATTTGAATGTTATCTGAGAGGTGGCAGAGGGAAGTTCAGGATTAGATTTGGTTTCCAGTCCGGTTAGCTAGGCAGATTCGGAGATGTTATTCTTACCATCCCATGTTCTGCTCCATCCAGGGCTCCTGGCATAGGCCTGTTAGACACACAGATCCATGTGAGCTGTTTCTGTGCCTGTAGGAGAGTTCAGGGCAATTGCCAGTCTCTTGCACTCTTGTAGCTATGGCAACCACACTCTAAACATTCTCAAGCTTCAAATGCTCAGTCCCTTTGCACAGGTTCCCCATGCTATAGTTGATATTCCCAGACTGGAAGATGAGGCTGCACAGGCCATGGCCACCTTCAAGAGAGTCTAAGACCATGTGAGTTAGACAGTGAAGTGAGAGGTGCAGACCTGGCTCCAGGTTCTCCTTTAGTCCCTGTGTAGTCCTCTCTGGGTATTTCCCTCATTAGTGACAGGAGTAGAGCTGGCCCATAGGATAGTGGGCTGTGAATACTTTGCTAACTGCAGGCTAGTTAGCCTGCCAGGGGCTGTCTTGTGAAAATGAGATACAGCCTTTAAAATGGAGCTTCAGAGCTATAAAGTAGCTAGATTGTAGTGGATGCCTGGAATGTGAGCGGTGGACACTACTGCTTGGTTCCAGATGCACGCATAGCTGGATGACTTGGAGCCTCTGTGTTAGAGACACTTGCCTTTCCTATCCACATTCTGGTTTGTCTTCTAAGTAGGTTAGCTCCTCTCTTGTCAGCATGCAGGCTCTTCTTTCCTGCCTTCCCTGAACACTACTGCAGAGCTCTCCCTGCAGCGATAGTTCCTAAGACTTTTTTTTCTGAGTGTGTGGGGTGTACAGCACAGACTCCTTAAGACCCGACTTAGAGAGGCAAGTATGTTCAATTTTGAGCTGTGGCTTGCAGCGGCAGGAAGCCCCCGCCCTGCGGTAAGCTGGGGAAGCCGCAGGAGCTCCGGACTTCCGGACTTCGTGGACGTCCACCAGTGGCACTAAGAGGGTTCCCAAGAGTCCAGCGCAGGCACAGGTCAAGACAGACAAGCTGTAACTATTAGCTTGGCGATACAGCCTGGAATAGCAGGAGAGGCATATAAGCACATTCTCACCTATCTGTAACTGCAGAGAGCTACGGTCTCTGCAGTTACTGAATACCAGCAGCAGTCAAAAAGGAAAGGCGAAACACAGGTGGGCCCTTTAAGGCGCTCCGCCTCCTCTAATTTTTCTGACCCTCGTCGCCGCCCGTTGCCCCGCCCCTCACGCACGCGCAATCCCTCCCGCCTCCCGCGCCGCTGCCGCCTAGTCCACCAGCTCGTCTGCTCTCGCGCGCACGGCTAGTCGACGCGACGCCAGAGCGCCCGGCCACGCTGCCGCGGCTCCGGCAGGTAAGCGAGTGACCCGGTCCTGCGGGCGCGAGGCGGGCGGTGGCCACGTGGGCCTTCGGGCTCCGGGATCCACAGCGCCGCACGTGTTTCGTGGGCCTCGGGCCGGGCCCGGCGCCGCATTTGCGGCCGCGCCCCGGCCTTGCCGCCCCTTGTGGCCGCTACGGCCTGCTATTCCACTGTGGCCCCTGCTACGCCCCTACACCCTTAGTCCTGCGAGCTCCTCGAGGCTCACACCACAGGTTAGCGTCCCTGGGACGTTCGCTGTCTCTCATCGGGGACACCTAGCCAGCAAGCATCTCGAAGGTTTTTTTGACCACTTGGCACCTCTCGTGCTGCCAGCACAATCGGTGTGAACCCAAGGCGACTAGGACCTAGGTATCCAGGAGCCCAGAATGGATGGGTTGGAGCTCTTTGTTAGGTTACCTACTGCACTCACCTGAGTGACTGAACCATTCTGACTTCCCATACTTGTGTACTGAGTGTCTAGGGTGGTAACCAGGAATCTACATTTGATTGGAGGGAGACTGATGGCTGCTGTCCTGCCATGGTTAGACTCACTGTAGTGTAAACCTGAGGCTGTGGCTGCCAGTTAACTGCTTCCTTTGTGGGCAGTGGAGGCCAGCTCCAAACCACCTGCTGAGGATCCTGCCTAACACACCTCCCTCCCAGAGCTCTCCTCCCCAAGTCCTGCTTTCTTGTGACCTTAAAACACCACCTACCCGGTGGAATTGGAAAGTGGTGGTTTCCTTTGAGACGGTTTCAGGTTGGTGCTGGCTTCACATTTAACTGCTTTGAACTCCTCCTGAGCCTGGTGAATGACTGGCTAATGTTGTTCTTTCTTTTCCCTTTTTTGTTTTGTTTTTTGTTTTGTTGTTTGGGGCCTTGAACTCCGCCCACTCTTTAGAGCTCTGCATCCTTAGAGCTGGTGCTACAACCAGTGTCTTCATATGTTAATATTTGGCTTCCGGGAAAGACCCAGTTTATAAAGAGTTGGATGTTGGTGTGCTCGTTTGCAAGGTCATCCCCCCCCCCCCCCCCCATTATGGGTGAGTCTCTTTATATCCTAAAGGATGCTGCTTAGTTTCTAAGAGACTTCCCACCCAAGGGATATGCTCTACACTGTCAGCCTTTTATTTCACTGGAGTTGGGAGATGAGATAGTCCTTGAACGGGACTTTTAGCCCTTTCATTACATAAGTCTTTTGGCTCCTCTTGCTACCTGTATGGTCCACAAAAGTGGTAACTGTGGGAACTCATGGCAGTAGTTTAAGACTAAGCTGGAGGTCAGGCCTGGTAGTTGAGTTATGCCTGTTACACCAACCATACTAAGGTTGAGACAGGTTTTTGAATACTGGTGCATATAGCAAGACCCTGTCTCCAAAAAGCTAAAAACACTAAGCAGCTGATATTTCCTGGGCACAAGGAATTTGCTTTGTGGAGAGACCTATAGGACCTACCGTAGTCCGTCCTTGCCCCTGGGCTTGAGCTACTGCAGGATTTGACCTTGATGGAGCTGGCCTCAGCAGGTAAAACAGCTTGGTTGCACCTGGGCCCTGTGTGGTGGGTGACTTTACTGTTCATCCTCTAGGATTGAAGACTTTGAGACATTGTTCTCTTTTTGTTTGTTTGTTCTGTTTTTTCGAGACAGGGTTTCTCTGTATAGCCCTGGCTGTCCTGGAACTCATTCTGTAGACCAGGCTGGCCTTGAACTCAGAAATCCACCTGCCTCTGCCTCCCAAGTGCTGGGATTAAAGGTGTGGGCCACCACTGCCTGGCAACATTGTTCTCTTTTGTGTCCTCTCATTTTAGACTTACCTGAGGTCTATGTGAGGTTGCAGGTTTAATCTCAAAGCTATACTTTACATCATGATTGTTCCTTACATTGATGGCTGAGGAATCCATGAGCGGTGATGTTTGGATGTCTTCGTAGCTCTCAGAGGACTGCTAACTCATTTCCCAGTCACGTGGTGTGTTTCTGCGATGCATTCAGGTGCTGAGCCCTACTGTAAACTGCAGTAAACTATAGCGGTTTCACAGGTGTTTGGGCTGAGTCTGTCCAGCTGACTGGAATTAACTACTTTCCCTCAGCTTTGCAGCTTCATCTAGTTTGCTGTTTCGCTGCTGTTCTTCATGCTGCTCCTCCTGAGGTTTCATATGGGGGCAGTGGCTACTCTGCTTTACTCTTGTAGCTCTTTATGTAGTATTCTGTGCACTGAGTCCTTGAGCTCTGTGAGCTCTTAGCATTGTAGAAGGTATTTTGCAGCCTGTGAGTTACAGGCTGCTGAGGTGGAGGCCACTGGATACATACTCCTGTGTTTTGTCAAATTCTTTGGGTGTATTTTAAAATTTGGGTAAGTTCCCAAGCTTCTGCACAGTTGGTCTACCTTCTGTCACTTGGCCTGTTGTTTCTGTTAGAAAGCATTTTAAAAACTGTGTCGAGGATACTTTGAAACAAAGCTCAGATTCCTGTGCACATCTGTGCACTGCAGTGGGAAGCCTTCTTGAAGGTTAAGTCTAGGCTCACAAAGGAGTCAAGAGTAGGCCATCACACAGAGTGTCTGAAGCTTTAGCCTTAGGATAGGGTGACAGTTATCCCCAGCTTGGAACAGTTTATTTGTTGCAGAGTTCAATGTGGTGGTGCTTTTCTCCTTTTGACCCTTTTTCTTGGGAGTCTTTTTATTTTTTTAAGATTTATTTATTTTACGTTTATGGGTACAGTGTAGCTAGCTGTCTTCAGACACCAGAAGAGGGCATCAGATCCCATTACAGATGTGCTTACTGGGAATTGAACTCAGGACCTCTGGTAGAGCAGTTAGTGCTCTTAATTACTGAGCCATCTCTCCAGCCCCAGAATCATTGTTTTTTTTTTTTTTTATGGGGGGGGTCTTATGCATGTTAGGTGAATACTCTTCCATGGGTTGCTACATCTCAGTCCCAAGAACCTTTTTGTTGTTTGGAGACAGAGTTTCTCTGTGTAGCCCTGGCTGTTTGGAATTTGCTCTATAGACCAGGATGGCTTCAAACTTACAGATCCACCTGCCTCTGCCTCCCAAGTGCTGGAATTAAACGCATGTACCACCACACCAGACAAATTTTATTTTACTTTGGTTTTCCCCCTCTACATATAAGTCTGTGTACCATGTGCATGGAGTCCCTACAGAGGTCAGAAGAGGATGGCAGATTCTCTGAGCTGGAATCAAAGATAGTTGTAAGTCCACAAGTGGGAGTCAAACATAGGTCTTGTGGAGCAGCATTTGGTGAGCCTAACTACTGAACCATTTCTCCAACAAGTTTTGTTAAAGAGAGGATTGTTTATATATAGGCCCATACTATAGAGTACGGTTTAGCTGACAGCCTCTTCAATTGTGACTCCCCCTTCACGGTGTCCTGCCCTGTGGGCTTCAGAGCCATGGCCACAGAGGAGAAGAAGCCAGAGACAGAGGCTGCGAGAGCACAGCCCACTCCTTCCTCATCAGCCACACAGAGCAAGGTATGGCCCACCGGGACCACTGCGGTAGACAGCCTGGAGAGATTCTCAGGGGTGTTATTTCATTAGGCTTTTCTGCCTAGTGAGGTATGCTGCCAGTGTGAGTTTCTGATCACACAGCAGTGGTTACACAGAGCAGCTAGGTGCCACATCAGGGATCCCAGACCTAAGATGAGGGGGGGAGATTTATCAAAAAGTAGTTTGTTTTGCGGCAGGGTCTCCCTATAGTCCTAGCTGGTGAGAAACTCAACATATAGACCACGTGCCTCTGCCTCCCTCTCCCTTCCATGTGCTGGAATTAAAGATGTGCACCACCATACCAAAAAAATTGCAAATTCTTGGTGTGTTAAGGTGGGGACTTTAGGGAAACTAGGGGCTTTGAAGAGAAGTGATAGGCTCACTGACAGTTTGAAGGGTGACATTAGATGAGGTTGTAGTAAGTTCTTGTGTGTAGATTTGGAACCAGCTAGTGCTTGATTACACTTTGGGCCTCAAGTGAGTTGATTTGGGTGGTGGTAGTTGCCTCTGGCTAATCTGTACTTTTTCCCGCAGCCCACACCTGTTAAGCCAAACTATGCCCTGAAGTTCACCCTGGCTGGCCACACAAAAGCTGTGTCCTCTGTGAAGTTCAGCCCCAATGGGGAGTGGCTGGCAAGTTCATGTGAGTATCCTTCAGTCCTTTGGCTGGTGGAGAGGCAGTCTGAGCTTTGTCTGAGGAGGGAGGATGAGGAGACTGCACTCACTGTGTTGTTACTGGTCTCTGGGTTGGTTAGCATTCAGCATTTTTGTATGGAACTGAAGTAATTGCCTGTTCATATGCTATTGCCTCTCTGCAGTGAGCGCTTACCTGTGTGTGTCCACGAATTGAGCAACCCAGGCCTTACTTTAGGGGAATGCACAGTCCCAATCTTTTCTGACCCCAGCTCTCTTTCATTCCTTTCAGCTGCTGATAAACTCATTAAAATTTGGGGAGCATATGATGGAAAGTTCGAGAAAACTATATCTGGTCATAAACTGGTAGGTTTCCTATGAGGTGGACTAGGTGTTGAGCAGGATGGCTGGGTGCCCTGGCTATCCTGGGACTTACTCAAGCTACCCTTCAACTTGGAGATCTGGCTGCCTTTGCTTCCAACTCTCTAGTTCAGGGATTAATGGTGTGCACCAAGTGGCTTGTCAGAACTGTTTTTAAGTCTAGTGGGTTCAGGGTCTTACTAAGTAAGTAGTTCAGGTTGATCTGGAACTGCAATCCTCCTGCTGAAGAATCAGGTTTGCACCACCACACCTGGCCTCCTTATATTTTTAGTGCAAGCACAAGCACTTTGAGCCTCCATAGGTGAGTGAGTCTAAGAAGCTTGGTAGAGCTGAACAGAGTGGGCTTTTCTTCTGGGCCAGGTGTTTTGTGGTACTAACAGTGGCTGGATTTCCTGACAGCATGGTGTATAAATTGGTAGGGCTGATCTTTTACTGGTCATTTGGATTTGTCCCACAAGGTGGTAACCAGCTGTTTTTTTTTTTTTTCCTTCCCAAGGGAATATCTGATGTAGCTTGGTCATCAGATTCTAACCTCCTTGTGTCTGCCTCTGATGATAAAACTTTGAAGATTTGGGACGTGAGTTCCGTAAGTGACACTGGTCTTCCAGGGAGTTCCCATAGTTGAGATGAGTTGGCTGTGTGGATGGCTGGTCTCGGGTAGGTCTTCAGATGTGCCAGAAGTTTGTATCTGGGGATCTAGGCCCTGGAAGTCACAGGCTTTGGTATGCTATGTGTGCTCTAGGGAAAGTGTCTGAAGACCCTAAAGGGCCACAGTAACTACGTCTTCTGCTGCAACTTCAACCCCCAGTCCAACCTCATCGTCTCAGGGTCTGTAAGTGCGTGGGTTTCTCCTCTAAGGGCAGTGTGTATAGTGTCATATTTTGGTGCTTGGTCGGGGTAGGCAGTTTTGCTTCTAGGTGGGGACAGGTTCTGGGTCTCAGAGATCACACTGTTGCTGTTCCTGTTCCTGTAGAGTCACTTTAATGTCCTGTCTCACCTTTAGTTTGATGAAAGTGTGAGGATATGGGACGTGAAGACAGGGAAGTGCCTCAAGACTTTGCCTGCTCATTCTGACCCAGTCTCAGCCGTAAGTCCTCCTAACATGCTCAGCAGAAGTTCCTCTAGATGAGTTAACTTGATTCGCGCACATGTAGCATCCGAATGACCGGAGGCCAAAATATCTCTTGGCCCTGTGTGCCATGGTGGGTGGGGTATAGTGGGGAGCACCATGGGACACTTTGTGGGCTGGGAGGTAGATGACAGGGATTTTCTTTTTTTTTTTTTTTAAGGTTTATTTACTTATTTATTAATGTATATAAGCACACTGTCCTTGAAACATCAGAAGAGGGAATCAGTTCCCATTACAGATGGTTGTGAGCCACCATGTGGTTGCTGGGAATTGAACTCATGACCTTTGGAAGAGCAGCCAGTGCTCTTAACTGTTGAGCCATCTCTCCAGCCCCGATGACAGGGATTTTCAAGGGGGGTGTCCTTGAATGGGCTTTTTCAAAATGGGGGTGACTGTTTGGAGAATAGGGAGCCATGAGAATTTTGAGTAGATTAGCTTTCATGAGTGTGTTGGGATCCTAAGGCTTCTATTTTTCTAATAAAACACAGTGACCAGAAGCAACTTGGAAAGTCTTAAGTTTGTGTTATTGTGGCTATGATGAAGCACCACGACCAAAAACAAATTAGAGGGAGAAAGGGTTTATTTTCCTTACATTTCCATATCGTAGTCTATCACTGAAGGAAGTAAGGACAGGAACTCAACAAGGGCTGAAACCTGGAAGCAAGACTGATAAGAGAGGCCGTGGAGGAGTGAGTGAGTGAGTGCTGCTAGCAGGGAGGTCAGCACCTGGACTTTAATCCCAGCACTCAGGAGGCAGGGGCAGGTCTGATCTACAGGGTAAGCTCTAGGACAGCCTGGGCTGCTACACAGAAAAACCTTGTCTCAGAAAAAAAGTGAGTGCTGCTTACTGGCTTGCTTTTCATGGTTACCTCAGCCTGCTTATTCTGCTGGGCTCTCCCATCTGTCTCTAGTTAAGAAAATGTCCTATAGGCTTGCCTACAACCCAGTCTTACGAAGGCATTTTCTCAATTGAGGCTTCTTCTGTAATGACTCTAGCTTTATGTCAAAGGGACATAAAACTAGACGGTACAAGAAGGAAAAGATTAGCTATCCTAGAACTCTGTGTAGACCAGTCTCGCTTTCAACTCATAGAGCTCGGTCTGCCTTTGTGTCTTAGAGTTTTTATTGTTGTGAAGAGACACTATAACTGCAGGAACCTTATAAAGGAAAGCATTTCATTGGGGCTGGCTGACAGACAGTTCAGTGGTTTAGTCCATTGTCATCATGGTGGAAACATGATGCCATGTTGGCAGATATCATGCTGGAGAAGGAGCTGAGAATTCTACAGCTCGATCAGCAGGCAGCAGGAAGAGAGTGACACAGGGCCTGGCTTGAGCTTCTGAAACTTCAGAATCACCCCTCCCAGACACGCTTCTCCAGCAAGATCACACCTCCTAATAGTGCCATTCCCTGTGAGCCTATGGGGGCTATTTTCATTTAAACCGCCATACTCTGACTCCTGAGTACTGGAATTACAGGTGTGCCCACCCCTGCCCAATAGATTTTTCATTTTATATTTTCACATCACAGTTACATCATTGAAGGAAGTTAGAACAAGAACCTGGAGACAGGAGCTGGAACAGAAGCTCTGGGGGAACATAGTTTACTGTCTTCGTGCCTTGGTCATCTTAATTTTTTTACATGCTGGGACCACCTGCCTAAAGGTGGCATCACTAATAAAGCCCTGTATCATTCATGAATCAAGGAAAAACCGTGCAGATCGCTACACTCCGGTCTTAACAGAGACATGTTCTCAATTAAAATTCCCTCTTTGCAAATATGTGTAGGTTTGTGTCAAGTTGACTTAATGCCCCTCAAAATTAATGTGCAGCCTCAATTGAAGCCCCTTAATATACTCTCTCCCTAGCTATAGCCTTGGCCTGTGAGTTGTCATTGTATCAGTGTCTCCTTAACTGTTTACTGTGCCTCATCCCCAACAGAGAGTCTTATTAACTAGTCCAGGGTGGGTCTGAGTACCCTGTGGGCTTGCTTGCTTGTTTTTCCAAGGTGCTACCTGCACATTGGCTGCATGAAGAAGTCAGGTGCCCACGTTGACCTCCTTACCCTATTATGTCAAGTAAGAATTTGTTATGTATATTAAAAACAGAGGTAAATGTGGATAGTTGTATTGCCTTGACCTAAGAGGAGCTCTAAGTGACTGACAGTCGTGGCTGAGTGGCTGTTCAGGATCTGGCATACACTTCTCAACAGGAGAAAGTGACTGCTGGCTCCAGTGCTTTAGAGACCAGGTCTATGATGGCAGAGTCCCTGGAACCTGAAGGTGGCTTGTAAGTTTCTTATATATGCCTGTGAGCCCAAGAAGCTGGAACATTTCTCAAGTTTGTCACCATACCATGCCTTGAGAGTTAATTTGTAAAAAGGTTTATCTTGGGCCACAAAGTTGGGATTCAAAGTTATAGAAATTTGGTAGATAGACTCAGTTCCTGGCACAAAGATTTAAGCAAGGTTGGAATGTGACCCAGTGTCTGGTACATAGGTGCTTGCATGCCAATCCTTGGATTCCATCTCCACTGTTGTATAAAACACAGGCATGGGATTACATGCTTGTAACTCCAGTACTTCAGCAGAGGCAGGAAGATTAGGAGTTAGAAGCTATAGCTGCATAGTAGAATCAGAATCAACTGTAACTACATGATCCTTTCCCCAAAAAAAATAAGAAGACAACCACTGAAAACAGTGAGTTTTGAGGGCCTGGAGTTACCTGAAGGGTTCCAGGGACTCACAGTGAAATTTGGATAGTAGCCTGAGCATCTCTTCTGAGACACAGTTTATGGTGGCCTGGGTCTCACTGCTGGCACTGAGGCTGATGAGTGAGCACAGAGCACCTGTGAACCATTCTAGAAAACTGGGTGTCTCTCCTGACTTTGAGCTCTTGTATTTTGCTGGTGAGAAAGAGAAGGTGCCCCCTCTCCACCCTCAAGTTGTATTAGCTTTGTTAGGTTTTCAGGCCCTCAAATGGAATTGTTGTGAGCTCTATGGGCAGGATGCCCTCGGAATCGAGAGACACTTACTACTGATTAGAAATCAGCTTTTCTTCCTTCTCTAATTTGTAGGTTCATTTCAACCGTGATGGGTCATTGATCGTTTCCAGTAGCTATGATGGCCTCTGGTAAGTGAGTCTTTTTCATGTAGTGAGTGACCTGTTGTGCTGTTCCAGATCTGTGGTGCAGCAAAAAGAGGGGACATGTGCCTCATTTTCCAGAATTCCGTGTTCCACTGGTTGTGGGTTATTGACAGACCTTGTGCAGAGTACTGGGATGAAAAGCTATGAAGGAGCTGGTGGAAATGGTGGGTGATAGGTGAAGCCACCCAGGGCAGAGCATACCCCTGAGTGTGTCCTTTTTCAAAGTTGTAGAAAGTGAGTTAAAGGGCTGAGGCTTTGTGCTGAGTGCAGTGGTGCTGTTCACAGACCTCATAAGTCCTGGGCAGGTGGACCACCCACCGGATCCCATTGTGTGGAAGAGAGAAGAAGCCAGAGGTGTGGTCTCTCTCTGCAAGCTTTCAGCAGTGGATGGTTGTAGATGTGACTGTTAGGTAGAAGTGCTTAGGGTTCTTCAGAAGACAAGGGAGAGTGGAGATCACAAGAGGCAGGCTTGGGGTACAGTGCTACTTGCACTCTGAGCTTGGAGACCTCATAACTGAGTGTATGTTGCTGTTCTGTGTTGATTAAGTAAAGCCAGGTAAGTCATGTAGTAGGTGAGTGAAGCCCAGTGTTGGTGGGTGGGGTTGATGGGCTGCCTGAATACCCGTACTCAGGGCCCTGGCTTGAGATTAAAAAGACTTTGCTTGGGTGCTATTAAAATATCCCTAAAATGAAGTGTTTGAGCGGGGCAGGTAAGTGATATCTGTGCAGCAAAATCCTCAGAATTGATCTGAAGGTCAGAACAGGGAAGAGTGGCCTAGAGCAAACAAAAGGAACTAGAAACTTCTGGGCCCCAGGCAGCACGGTGACCAAAAGGCAGAAAGGAAAACCTAGACATAACAGAGAGAAGGTGACTTGAATTAAATTCATTTTTGTGCTGCTACAGGTGGAGCCTGGAGCTCTGCAGTCTCACTGCACAGGTTGGGCTGGGCTGGGACTTAGCCAGCCAGTTGGCAACATTATTTGTTTCCTGGCTACAAAGAGAGAGAGCACTGAGTGATAGGAGCTAAACATTTTCTTTTTCTTCTTGGGGGTGGCACAAACTTTAGCAAAAGGACAGTTCTTTCAAAAGATAAGTCCATTAAAGCTTGTTTCAGTTGGACTAGCCCAATGTGTTAGTGTGCTTTCATTGTCCTAGGCAGAGTGACCCAAGAGACCCCAGATAGAAGTACACTCAAAAGGAAGACAGAAAAATGGTGGAGTGGAAAGAAACAGGAAACAGTTATGTAAGGTGTGCTTTGACAAGGTAGAGCTAAACTTAACACTAAATATGAGCAGGATAAGCAGTAGGAGGTAGGTGCCCTGAGTTCACAGACGACTAGAAGATTCTTCTTTTCCTAAGTGGACCCTGAAGAGGTTTGCTGGGGGTGGGCCACCCTGAAGAGAGACAGGAAGTGATGAATAGAATACTCTTGGGGTCCTGGATCAATCAGTGATAGTCACATTTTGTAGCTCTGAAATTCAAATGCAGGTACTCACACATAAGAACAAATTTAAAAGGAACAAAAACTAAAAAGTTGACTATGTGGTCCTTTTCCCTTGCTGCATCGAATTCTTGCCATCCCCACTTGTTACTTAGGAAATAAAGGTGAGCATAAGAACAGCCACTAGCTGGGCGGTGGTGGCGCACGCCTTTAATCCCAGCACTTGGGAGGCAGAGGCAGGCGGATTTCTGAGTTCAAGGCCAGCCTGGTCTAGAGTCAGTTCCAGGACAGCCAGGGCTACACAGAGAAACCCTGTCTTGAAAAACCAAAAAGGAAAAAAAAAAGAACAGCCAGTAAGTGACAGGCCAGAACAGCTTCTGAGGCTTAACCGCCCAGCCTCTCTGGACCCTCAGGACCTGCTGTCCAGCATGAAGGGTTACACATTTGCCAGGGTTCATGGTGGCTGCTCTTCTTACCTGGATTTATGATGGGGGAAGATCTCTCAATGGTAAAGTGCTAGGGATATTTAGGAATGCTATGATAGGAGAGGGCAGGAGCCATGGAGAACAAGACTGCCTGAGCACACAGCCTGCAGAGTTCACGATGGAGTTAGGTCAACATCAGTCACTCAACCTGAACCTGTGTGGAGAATGCACTTGGATTTCAGTCCCTTAGTGTTTTGCATATTGTACAAAAGTGAATTTTAAAAGCCCACAGGATTCCAGTCCCAGCAGCTTCTGCCGGTCGTCTGTACACTTTAGGCTGAGGCATGAGGATTAAAAGTAAAATAGAGCCTGCATAGATGAGTCAGTGGGCTTGTGCTGAGAGGACTGAGCAGAGAGCAAGAAAGGGTCAGACCAGCTAGTCCGAAGAGTGGAAGCCCTGGGGAAGGAGGAGATGTGGAAAGGCTGGGGTTGAGGTCCTGTGGTTGTTCGGAGAAGAGCCTGATTACCTCACTTTGAGGAATGATACAGGACCTGCCCTGGGGAAGGCTGCAGATACAGTGACAGCATGGGAGGTCAGCTTGGGAATATGCACAGCAAAGAGCCAGTGTCCCTGCTTCTGACTGCTGAAGAAGGGTGTGGTGGTCAGCAAAAGTCACAGACCATGTAGCTGGAACCATGTCGAAGCCTGACATGTCCTCAGGGATGGTAGTTTCTGAACATGTTCCCTTGTAAACCTACAGGGATATCCAGTAAATGGATATCTTCATTTTGTAGCAATTTTGCCCTCCTAACAACATACTGCCAGTTGGTGGCTCTTAAATGTATAGAGAGGACAGGCATTCTTTTGTTTGTTTGTTTGAGATAGGGTTTCTCTGTGTAACAGAGCTCTGTCCTGAAACTCACTTTGTAGATCAGGGCCGGCCTCATATTTATAGAGATCCACCTTCTGATGCTAGGATTAAAGATGTGGCCACTGCTTACTGCTGAGATTTTTTGTTGCTGTTTGCTGTGCTGCTCCCACACACCCCAAAACACACATACATAGGGATTCTCTGTGTCCCCTTGCTGCCTCCTTGAACTTTCTAGACCAGGCTGGCCTTGAATTTGTACATTTGTATCTTTTAAGTGCTGGGATTAAAGGGGTACACCTTACCATCCAGCTTTCTCTCTCTCTCTCTCTCTCTCTCTCTCTCTCTCTCTCGTTCAAGTTTTATGTATGTGAATACACTCTCTTCAGATACACCAGAAGAGGGAGTTGGATTCCTTTACAGATGGTTCTGAGCCACCATGTGGTTGCTGGGAATCGAACTCAGGACCTCTGGTAAAGCTGCCAGTGCTCTTAACTGCTGAGCCATCTCTCCAGCCCTAATTTTTATCTTTATAGACAGGGTCTCTGTAATCCTAGATGGAGAACAGGTGTCCTCAGGTGAAGTCCACCCATGTGTGCACGTGTTATTCTCCCTCAGTCTCTAGAGACAGAGTGATTGTTAAAGCTGTGGGTGGGTGAAGGGTGCAGTGCAGTACTATGCGACTTTGGAGAAATGCCCTCCTAGAGTGGGAGAGGTGACAGCAATCACCAGCAATTGACTTTCTCATATGTTATCTTCTGACAGCCGAATCTGGGACACTGCCTCTGGCCAATGTCTGAAGACGCTCATTGGTGAGTGTTCTATCTGGTAGGTGGTTGTGGAGTGGGGTGGCTGCCATGTCCTGCTAGTGCTTCTAGAATATTTGGTTTCAGAAAGTTTTCTTTCTGTCCTGGGTCCCCTTACTCTGCAAGACTCACGGTAACTTTCTTCCTGACTAATAAAGCTACCCATGGAACTTGTCCCCCGTCTCTCATGCTCATATGTGGGGTTGGTTCTTGGTTCTTGCATATTTTACATTGTTGAGTAGTGTCCGTAGCTCTTTGGGACCTTACAGCCTCTACCTGTGTTTATTTGCCTCAGCCTGCCAGTGGTCCCTTCTTTCCTAGAGTTGGGGATACATGTTCACTACTAGGGTGTACTGCAAGGTGGGCAGGGTGTTGGAGCCAGGACAGGTCTGGGCGCACAGGTGAGTGGGCTGATGGGGTGGGTGTTGGGAGGGTGTCTAGGCTGGAGTTCAGAACTTTAGGTGAGCAATGTAAAGGGTTGGCAGGACCTGCTTCTTTACCAGTTTGGCTTTTTGGGGTTAGATAGGCCTTTGTGGTAAGTTTAGACTTTAGACTATTAGAGAAACTAGTGTAGCTATTCTGGCCTGCCAAGTTGCTAGGATAGAATACCTGAGTTAGCAGAGAAGACAGGAGCTCATTCTCTATTGGAGTTTAGGTGGCCGGCAACATGGTGTGGGTATGATGACTTCTGATATCACTTTGGCCTGCAGGTGGCATGTACACCCTTGTGTTTCTCTGTGCCCAACTTTTTTTTTCCCCCTCCCCGAGCTGAGGACCGAACCCAGGGCCTTGTGCTTGCTAGGCAAGCACTCTACCACTGAGCTAAATCCCCAACCCCTCTGTGCCCAACTCTTAATGACATGCTCACATTTAACACCCCTCACCCCTTCAGCCATCACCTGTGTGATGTTCTCTCTAAAAAAGCCACTTATTGCAGCTGTGGATATAGTCTTCATAAGTTTGGGGACACAGTCACCCTGGAATAATGGCTTTTATTTAAGCTTTTCTTGCTTGTGTCCACTCTTGGGTCTTACTGATTTTTCAGAGCAGTCACAGATGTCAGGTAGTAATATCCTGTCCTTACCACCCCACTCCCCAATCTGCTCTTCCAGGGACCTCTCTGGTGCTAAGTTATGCAGCAGCTAGTCCAACACACACCTAGTGCTTGTGTTATCAGCACGTGTAAGCATCTGCTACCCTGTGTCATCCTCCGTTCACAGCATCCTAGGTACAGAGGTCAGCTAGCTGGAAAGCTGCATAGCAAGTCTAGTCACCCTTCAGTATCTAGGAGAGGGTTATACAACTTTCTATTGTTTGCCAAAGTCCCCGGATGCTCAAGTCCCTTCTGTGAGCTGGTGCAGTGTATGTGTGTACTTTGTACTGCAGTTTAAATCTTGAGATGGTTTAAAACACTAGGTCTACAGATGTAACAGTTGCCCAGAGGTAGTACTTGCTGCTGGAATGATGTGCAGGATATATCCAGTTTAGTTGCAGCTATCACAGGATGTAGCGGCCTGTGGCCATGGATAACTGGGTTCACCTGAAAGGAGGGCTGGGAATGAAAGGGGGACAGAGGGCGAAAAGAGATGAAGCCAAAACAAGGTATTCTGATTAATCAAGGTTCAATGTTTTAATGTTCAGCTCTCAATTTAAAGGGGAAGCCCCACCCCCACCACTGAACCCCTTCTTGCTTCAGCCTGCCAGGGTGAGGGGGACCCAACCTTGGTTACCGTTGGAGATGGGTGGAGGAGGAGATGGGTGGAGGAACCCATCCTTTGTCACAGAGCAACCCATCCTTTGTCTCAAAGCAAGCTCAGTTTTTCTTTTAAGTTCCTGTAGCAGGCTGTAGTGTAGCCAAGGTGGGTAGCACCACCTGGGTCTTATTGTTTTTGGTCTGTTGTGGTAAACAAGGTCTTTCAGGCCTGCTCAAGGCTGGGGGAAGGGCACAACAGGACACATCCAGTTTAGACGCAGCCATCACAGGCAGCTGTAAGAGGAGCCACAGGGTGGGAACGGTAGAGTTGGTTACACTCACTTCAGCTAAGCAATTGTCCTAGGGAACAGCAACATTCAGTTTCTTTGGTTTTGTGGTGCCCTCCCCTCCCTAACCCCCTTTGTTCCCCTCTAAACATACAGGATTTCTCTGTGTAGCTCATTTTGTAGGCCAGGCTTGTCTTGAAATCAGAGATGTACCTGCTTTTGAAGAGCTGGGCTTAAAGACTGTACTACCATGCCTAGCAAAATCTGTGCTCTTTTTTTTTAAGGGTCTCCCTCTCTCTCTCTCTCTCTCTCTCTCTCTCTCTCTCTCTCTCTCTCTCTCTCTCCTATGTTTCTGTCTGTGCTACAACATGTATGGAGGTCAGAGAAAGCTGCTTTAGGAGTTAAACTCTTCGATTGTGGGGTCTGTCAGGTCTGTGCAGTGAGTGCATGAGCCAGCCATCTCAACAGCCCTGGGGGTCAAAACTTGTAGATGTTTTGTTTTATATCTATTGTTGGCTAAACTGATCTGTGGTAGGCAACTGGGTGGGTGGCCAGAATTTAGATTTGTGCAGGCATTGGGCAGTAAGGCTTAAATTGAGGTAGGCAGGCCTATTTGGCTCAAGGTCTATTTCTCTTCTCTCACATCTTCAGGTTTAGACATTCTTTTGCAGGGGATGGGGTGGGCGCTGTTGACAGTTTTTCTTTATATTCCTGTCTGTTCTGGTACACACTTTATAGACCATGCTGGCCTCAAACTCTGAGATCTGCCTCGCCTTCTCGCCCCAGAATGCTGGGTGGGATTAAAGGTGTGGCACAGGTCGGTGATTTCTGCAGGCGTCTGTTTCAGAGGTGGCCTGGGAAGGTGCACAGGTATTGTTCCATGTCAGCTGATTTTATGCGCCTTATGTAGCCCTGCTGGCCTTACTCTCTCATGTCCCTTTCAGTGTTTGTGACCAGTCACAAGAAACGGAACCCCCTGCAAACCCCCTGTGGTAATGTGTGTGTCAGGATACACCATCCTTTTGTACGCACACTTAAGGCCTGGTATGCTTCCTTGGCTGGCCAGGCAGGCTCACCTCAGGATACACTCTCCTATCCCAGGCGATGGGCAGAACCCTCAGGAGCCCATTATGCAGAAGGATATGACATTCCTATGCCCTTGAAAGCAGCTTTTATGTGGGCAGTTTGTTGGAGGCCTGGCTTCTCAGCATTACTACACCCCAGTCTCAACCCTGCTTGCCAAATGCTAAAGTCAGCAACCTGGTCTTCAGGAGACAGGCATGGCCATCAAGAAAGGAGAGCTTGCTTGACTGAAGAGTGGGAGGGTGTCTATAAGACCACCCTAGGTCAGGCAGCTTTCTTCAGGGGATCAGTTGTTCAGTGTTGCTGGAGAGCTTTGGGCCTCCTTTATATGTGGTGGAGGCCTGTACTGGCAGGGCACTGGGTGAAGACTTAGAACATGAGTGGCTAGGGAAGGTGATGGGATGTCAAAGCTCTCTGGTGTCCCTCAAGAGTAATGGTGGCAGGGGCCTCACACTGTTGACATGGGTAACTGGGACCTGACTTGCATCTCAATTCTGCCAAGGGTCAGCCTGTTCTTCTTCTGTGTAGATGATGACAATCCTCCAGTGTCTTTCGTGAAGTTCTCTCCAAATGGCAAATACATCCTGGCTGCAACTCTGGACAAGTGAGTGCTTTGGTACCCTGAGAATTGAGCCTTCATTGGTGGGATTCCTCTCCTGTCGGTTGTGTTGATTCTTCTCCCAGTTGCCCCGTCGAGCTTTTACATCTGCGTTAGAGTTTGTTCCTGGGTTGTGGACTGAGGGGTTGAAGAGAGGACTCTCCACTCCAGTTAGTTTTAATGTGAGAAGGATTTGAGGCCTAGGCTGTTCCTGCCAGTTCCCAGTCTCTGAGCATCTTCATGTGGCAGAATCTCACTGCCATACATGATGACCCCCTCTTAGGTGCTCGTTGTACAAGGTCTCCAAGACATTGAACAAACTGGCACACATTGTACAAGGTCTCCAGGGAATCATGCCTACCTAGTTGGCTCTTGAGAGCTGCCTGATTGGCATTATCATGGTTAGCCTCCTACTTCTCCCCCAGGATCGGCATGAGTCTCTTCCTGTGGCATCTGTACTGGGTGGTTTTGGAGCCAACATGGTTTTCTGCATTCTGCTTCGGGCTAACCACTAGTTTTGGGAAGACAGACAGCAATCTGTTTCTTCAGTCTGTCTCTGAACTACAAGTACTAGGGTCCTTGTGTTTGCTCTTGGGTATCATGGAGTGGCTGGCTGAACTTGGTGAACTAGAGGATCCTCTGTCCCGACACTCATGGTTGTTGGGATATGGTGTCATCTGGGGAGGTGGCATGTCAAAGATGGCCTGCCCCTCACTCCCATTCTCTGTCTTTCAGCACACTGAAGCTCTGGGACTACAGCAAGGGGAAGGTGAGCTTCAGGCATGTGGCTGGTCTGGCCTGCATGCCAGCCCCAGGTAACAGGTTGAGGGTGGTGTGGCTGACCCATGAGTTGCAGCAGGAGAGACTCAGCCATCTTCTTTTGATGAGCAAGTATGGTACAACTCCCTTTAAAGACATGTTTTATGAATGACTAGTCTGCAGGTCAAAGTCTGGGCCTTGGGTTTGTCTAGAATATTTTCAGAATTTGGGATCCTCTGGAATGAAAGCTAACCACAGGTGCTAACAATGTACATCCACCCTTTCAGTGTCTGAAGACATACACTGGCCACAAGAATGAGAAGTACTGCATATTTGCCAACTTCTCTGTGACAGGTGGCAAGGTGAGTTTCCACTGAGCTGCTGTTACCCCGCTAGCTCTCTTAAGATGCCACTCATCACAGGAGGCTTTGTCTTTATGAAGCATCCCTAAGCATACGGAACAAGCCCACACTTGCTGCTTTGGATGGAGCTGTGGTGTCTTACACTTGGATATGGTTAAAGATGTAAGAGCAGGTGGATAGATCCACTGACTGAGGGTGGCATGGGAGCCATTTAGCATGTCCCCAAATTGGAGGAATAGGTATTAGAGTGACGCCAGCCAGCTTGCCTGTGCTACCTACTCAGCATATAACCTGGTGTCTTTCTTGCCTGTCCTTGCTGCCTGCCTGCTGCTGCAGTGGATCGTGTCTGGTTCTGAAGATAACCTAGTGTATATATGGAATCTGCAGACCAAGGAGATTGTGCAGAAGTTGCAGGGTCACACAGGTGGGCAGTCATTGCAGGTGGGCCACACGGGTGGGTGGAGCTACCCAGGGGAGCCCCTCAGTTCCCTGAGGTGCTTGCTTGTCTTTGGGGTTTAAGGACACATAAGCAGGTGTTGCTACTCTGTTCTCCCTGCCACCCAGCCCTGCAGGCCTGAGAAGGTGTGTGATCAGCCTTGGAAGCAGCATCAAGGGCTCTTATCTAGGGTCCTGGTCCTGGTTGGCTTTTGGGTCTTAAGTTAGACTCAAGCCTCCTGGGAATATAGCTTGTTTTCCTCACTGGAAAAACTAGGCATAGATATCTGGGGCCTGGCCCGCCAGCTGCTGGCACTAGGACTCTGTGAATATGGAGAATGTCTAGCCCACGTTTCCTGGAGGCTCAGCCTTTTTCAGGGATGCTGGTTTTCCATCTCCCGGGCAAAGCTCAGCCTTGAGTGAGTCCAGCTGTGGAGTTAACCTCATTCTAGTTCTTGCCTGCCCACTTTCTGAGGAGTCAGGGGCAGGAATATCATGTGCTCCTTTGCAGCCCTAAGGAGCGGAGGGCTCTTTCTGTAAGAGCAGTTGTCTTCAGCTGGGAGTACCTTGGTCATACTTGCTGTGGAACCTGAGCCCCAGGGAGCAGGCAGAGTTAATGGACCTCACATGCCATCTCATTAATGCCAGTATCCCTCCCTGCCCAGGTGTGTGGTTACCTTTTGCTCAGGTAGAACAACCTCATGAATAGTATAGGCAGGTGGGTGTAGTCAGTCCTGAGACCAGTGAGGAGGCCACGTAGACAGGAATGAGGAGTCTCCTGGGGTCCTCACCAAGTGTTTTGTGCCCAACAGAGCAAGGCTGAGGTGCTTGTTACTATTCCCGGCATTCTGAGCACTCCCCCTAAGTCCTGTGGTATTCCCTGTGCTCCTGAGGGCAGTGGGGCATGTGTTGCTGCTGTTTATCCTGCAGCAGCACCCTGTCTAACTCTGCTTTCAGATGTTGTGATCTCCACGGCTTGTCACCCAACAGAGAACATCATTGCCTCAGCAGCGTTAGAGAATGACAAAACAATCAAACTGTGGAAAAGTGACTGCTAAGTCCTGCCTCCATGGGAGGGAGACTTCAGGAAGCCACCTGGACTGGCAAGAAACACATGCGTGGCAGAGGCATGGGACCAGGCTGGGTTGACAGGCCTGGTGCACCTACTGTCTGAAAATGTTGGGTCAGGGGAGTGTACACTACCGAGTCTTGATAGCCACTGTGATATTTCTTGCCAATTCTGTCTCTGCCTGAGGAAGTTCCTGGTCTGTTCTGTGCTCAGAGGCAACAAATTTTTAATTTTTTATTACAGGAGTGAGTTCAACTCCTCATGGGTTGTTTTTCTCTGTACTTGTTGTTTTTGGTATTGTATTGCCCAGTGCACACACTGGAACAGAACCTACAGCCCTCCTCCCATTCCCTGCCTCCAGCCCTGGCCTGCTTGTTCAAGTTCCCTGCCTGTACTAGTATGCAGTGTGCTTCCATGAGTCTCTGGAAACACAGAAAGGTTGTTAAGTTGTATCCGTATCAAGTCCCTTTGTTTTTTTGGAGTTCATAGGTCAACACTGATCTCAGTGGTTACAGTGTCTCCTTGTCTCACTGATATCACTCAGTAAGCTACAAACACTGTAATAAAAGGTGGGTATGGACTGGGTGTGGCCCTGAGTTCTGACCACAGCTCTTCCACACCTGGCTTTTAGAAAGCTCCTCCCTCCTGGCAGGAGTTGGCAAGGTCTCTGGGAGGATGGATCTTTGCTGTGCCTTCTTCCCAGTGGCTGCTGTGGGTACTATGTGTTGCCAGAGGAAGAACCTCAGTTGAGAGAGTGGAAGTAAGTCTTGGAAAGGCACCATGTAGTGAGGTTCTGGACCTCTTTATTTCGTGTGAGGCTCAGGGTCACCTGCGCAGGAGGGAGGAGTTCAATTTGGTGCTTGCCCCAGCAGGTACAGCCTCCTGCCTTGGCCTCTAAACCCACGAAACTTCTCTTAGCCCCTTCCCCAAATGGATCCTCAGGTGACCAGGACTGGAAAGAAGTGATGGCCAAGCTCTGAACTGCACAACATTTTCACAACTGCTGCTGGCGAACCCAGGGTGACCTAGTATGGAGCAGACTGCAGAGGTTCTGAGTCCAGATGGGTGGGTGAGGCTGCTGGGGACAGGCACGGGTGGAAAGGAGATTCTGGGTTTGCTCTGGTTGCTGCAGCTTATGTATTGAAGCTAGGTCACCCTGTTCTACTCTGCCTTTGCTGAGGCATGTCCCCAGCTGTGGGCCTGATAGCCTGTCCTCCACTCCATCGAGGCACAATAAAAATCCAAAGGTGTTGGGAAAGGAACCCACATACATTGTCCTTTCCTTGAGGGAGAGAGATGATGGGCTTCACATCGTAGAAGCCATTGTTAAAGAAAGAGGGTGGCTTGTCACACTGACAGGGTTCTGGGGCCCCTAGCATCTGTTGGATGGATGTGCCTGGGTTCTGGTCAATGTTGTGGGCATGTTGCTGGGGTTTCTGGAGGGGTGTTGTGGTCCTTCCAGCTGTGGCCTGGTGTGCAGCCCCCTCCTGAGGGAGGGAGCTTGCTTGCCATGTTGAGCGCAGAATCCCCAAGTATAGTTTATTTTTTCTACAGTTGAACTCTGTTGTAGATTTATGTAAAAATACATTCTCTTTTTAAAAATAAAGATTTTCATGTCTTGTAATTTTGTTCCATATAAGTTCTTTTTTAAAGAAATTTTGTGTGCACATATGAGTTGTGTATGTAGAGGTCAGAGGACAACCATCATTCATTCCCACCTACCATGTGGGTCCTGGGATAGGACCCAGTTCACCAGGGTTAGGCCACGTGGCTGGCAGGCACTTAAGAATTTCTTTAGCGGAGCAGGCAGTGGAGGAGGAACACACCTTTAGTTCTAGCATTCAGGAGGCAGAGGTAGAGTCTAAGTTCAAGACTAGCCCTGTCTGCAGAGCTAGTGACAGGATTACACAAACCATGTCTCAACCAAAGGGAGAAAGTTTTTTCTTTTAATAATTTTTCAGTCAGTCAAAGTGATGCATGCCTATAATCCCAACACTAGATATTGAGAGTTCAAGACCAGCCCAGGCTGGTAATGAGGCCCAATCTGAAAAATAGCCTTTATTTTTTTAAAACACGTGTGAGTACCCAAGCTGTTATTCAGAAGAGGGTATCAGATACCATTACAGATGGTTGTGAGCCATCATGTAGTTGCTGGGAATTGCATTCAGGAGGACCTCTGGAGAGTTGTCAGTGCTCCTAACTGCTAAGCCATCTCCAGGTGCTTCCCCTCCCCCCAATTTACTTGGTATTGTGTGTATGTGTGATGGTTCATGAGTGTGGAAATTGATACTTGATAGCTATTTTACTTGAACCCAAAGCTTTCCAATTTGGCTAGTCTAGCCAGGCAACATCTGGGAGCCTTGCTAGTCTCTTAAGTGGCTAGGAGCACAGGCAGGCTGCTGTTCCTGCCCTGCGTTTACACACGTGCTAGAGATCCACACTGCTTCTCATGTTTATGTGGCAAACGCATTATCTACTCGGCTGTCTTCCCTGCCCCTGAATCTGCTTGATTTACTTGTGATGAAGGATTTAGTGTACAGAAGTACAGTGCTGAAGTACAGTGCTATGGATCCTGTGCCTTAGAGTAAGTGCCTTTGGAACTGAGCACAAGCAGCTGTTCATGCATTGTTGCCCTAATTGAATGGCTTTATATGGATTTCTGCTGGGTGTCCTGTGTACACAGGCTATGACCTTTTCTGGGCAGACACGAACCAAAGTCTACTTATTAAGACTAGAGAACTTGCCGGGCGGTGGTGACACACACCTTTAATCGCAGCGATTGGGAGGCAGAGACAGGTGGATTTCTGAGTTCAAGGCCAGCCTGATCTACAGCATGAGTTCCAGGACAGCCAGGGCTACACAGAGAAACCCTGTCTCGAAAAACAAGACTAGAGAACTTAAGGTCTGAACAAAGTAACAATTCTATTCAAATCCAACTTGATGATCAGTGGATATCATAAACAAGCCTGCCCAGCCTGAATGACAGCCCTGAAGGTCCCCAAGCCACCTAGAGGTACTGGGAGGCACAAGTGGGAGTCTGCTTCGCATTTTAAAAACATGCCACATGGTGGTGGCACACATTTAATCCCAGGTATGGGACCCATGGATATCAGTTCAGAGCCAGCCTGGTCTAAAGAGCTAGTTTCAGGATAGCCAGTTGCTAGACAAGCTAAAACATTTGCTTTATGTATGCTAGTGCTTTGTGTTTGTATGATTCCCGTATGTGTGTCTGTTAGCTGTAGAGGCCAGGAGAGGGTGTCTGATCTTTGCAACAGGAATTCTAGATGGTTGTGAGTGGCCTTATGGGTTCTGGAAGAGCCCTAGTGCTCTTGAGCCTTGAGCCATCTCTCCCAGCCTCTCTAGCAATTGTGAATTTTAGGGAGAAGCCTTATGAATCCTGTAGCTTTCAGCTAATTGGAATGAAGTTTCTTTTTGGAGTTCATGAGCCTCCCTCCTCCCTACAAGAGAAGTGTGTTGCTCCATGGCCTAATGCCTTAAACATTTTCACCTTCCCTTTGGTAAAGAGCTGGTTCCAGCCATGTGGGCCTGAGCATGACTTTCTACTTGTCTGCCTGTCAATTCTACCCCAAGCAGTACTATGGGCTCCTCTGAACAGGGCTGCTGTCCTGGCATCTTTGTGAGTGGGCCATTTCACCCCTAGGGTGTATCAGCTTTGAAACTCCTTGGTGTTTGGGGGGGGGTGTTTTAAAATAACCTCAAAGTTTGCATGTTTATGTTAATTTCGAAGTAAGGCATGCAGAGATGACATTCCATAGCTAGCATCTTAAGAAATGATTTGAGGCCGGTTGGTGGTGGTGCCTGCCTTTAATCCTAGCACTTGGGAGGCAGAGGCAGGCGGATTTCTGAGTTTGAGAGTTTGAGGCCAGCCTGGTCTACAGAGTGAGTTCCAGGACAGCCAGAGCTACACAGAGAAACCCTGTCTCGAAAAACCAAAAAAAAAAAAAAAAGAAAGAAAGAAAATAATTTTGAAAAAAGACAGAAAAGCTTTGAAGAGGGCTGGCAGCGGTGGCACACGCCTTGAATCCTAGCTCTGAAGTATATTTGTCAAATGCAAACGAGGGACAGATATGTATGGCACAGGCCTCAGCCACTGAGTCAGAATTTTTTAAAGATTTATTTGATAGGTATTTATTTGATAGGTATTGAGAGTTCAAGACTAGCTGAGACCCAGTCTGAAAACAGTCCCCTTTTCTGTCTGTCTCTTTCTTTAAATTTAAATGTATGCGAATACACCAGTACATAGCATCTTCAGACACACCAGAAGAGGTCATCAAATCCCATTACAGATGGTTGCAAGCCACCATGTGGTTGCTGGGAATTGAATTCAAAATCTCTGGAAGAGCAGCCAGTGCTCTTAATGACTGAGCCATCTCTCCAGCTCCAATAAGACTGTTTTTTTAAAAAGACAGGACTACAGGTAGTTCAGTGGTAGTGTTTATCTTGATAAATACTGTTTTGTTTTTACCTCTCTTCATTCCCCACTCCCAACTAAAGCAAACTTACCCATTGGGTGTGGTGGTGTCACGCCTATCTCCCAGAATTTGGGAGTAGAAGGCAGGAGGATAGGGAATGGGAGTACAAGATCAGCCTAGACTGTATTTGACCCTGCCTAGAAGAAATAAGATGATTATTTAAAAGCTTCCAACTGTGAAGAGTGCAGAGGGCATTGTGTTGCACAACTCCTCCCCCATCCCTGTTACCTGCTTCAAATGTCACAGGTCTTTCTCAATTCTGTTTTTTGAGATTAAAGCAAGTATGTGATTTCAATTTTTCTTTGTCTTAATACTTTTTAGGATTTTGCATTGTGTGCCCATACCATATATATACCCTTGTTTACATGAGCATAAGCCGTATACAAGTACATGTGTTTGTGTACACGCACATGCACACAAATGGATATCCTTCAACACAGATCACAGCATACACATACATGTACCTACTGCATGAGTTTCTGCTATTAAAGAGACAGATTAGGTGCCACGGTCAATTTAAGGAAACCTGTGTGGATGCCACCTCCTAGTACAGCCTGCTTTAGGAGAGCCCATATGATCTCCCAGGCACAGCTACCTGTTCGTCTGGAGTAGTGCTCAGGGTCTATTTGCTGTTTGAGCATTAAGTGCCTGATTCTGTCAGGAACACCCTGGAGTCTGTCAGGAACAATATGGAGTTGATGAGGAAATAGCTCTTATTAGGTGGGAAGTTGAGCTACTTACCATGCAGCCCTCCAAGCCTCAGAATGAAACTGTTAGAAGTAGTCTACATCTGTCCCAAATAAACTGGTTAAGAGAGCTGGGAATACTTGGGAGGCAGAGGCAGGCGGATTTCTGAGTTCGAGAGTTCGAGGCTAGCCTGGTGTACAGCGTGAGTCCCAGGACAGACAGGGCCACACAGAGAAATCTTGTCTCGAAAAACCAAAGAGAGAGAGAGCGAGCGAGAGCGCGCTGGGAATAGTGATCAGAATAGAAATCTGTAGCAAGAAATCTGTACAAGATTGCATCCTTGAGCTTCCAAATTTATATACACGAAAAAAAACAGTGGTTAGATGCCACGAAGTAGGTGGCAATGCCTTAACCGTATGTGTGTTGTTAGGCCCAAGGGCCTCTTCCATCCTTGTCAAGGGGAGTGCTAACCTTCTCTCCTTTCATACAACACAGAACTTCTGTCCCTCCCACGACCTATTTAAAACCCAGAAACTGAAACCTCTTTAGGTAATGGTGAATATTGTTTAGTAGCCACAAAAACATGTTGCTGAAAAGTATTATATTTTATTCGGTTGTTTCGTAATTTAAACGCTGTTATTTAAGAGTAAAAATGGTTTATTCAATTTTAACCGTACCATGCTTTAATTAATTCATAAAATCAGCCAATCACAGGCCGAAGGGAACACCGGAAGTTGTGAACGTTCTTGAGCAAAACAGACTCCCCGGAAACAAAACAGGGTGGGCACACATCCAACCGGGGCACGCTTGCGGACGGCGGGAAGAGGAAGTGGGCGGTGACGACTCAGAGGATGAGCGTCTGTTAATTATACATGGATTTCCGGGCGACAGGTTGTAAGCGCTGAAGTTGCAGGGAAAGCTGTGTACGGAGTCTGCGCATGCTCCTCGGCTCCCGCTACCATTATCCTCGCATGCGCAGCGAGGGCTGGCTACACGTCAGCTGGCGCTCTGGATCCTAGAAAGTGAATGGCTTCTCTACACCATGTCGGCTATCCCTTGCTTTTGTATCTATGTCGGGGAATTTTCAGTTAAGTCCATTTTATTGAAGACATCGAGCCAGAACAGCCTGGTGGTACCAGCTCCTTTAGTTAAACCACGCTGTGTTAAGAGTGCATACGTGTCTAAACAAGTACAGGCATACTCCTACACAAGTGTCATGCACATTTTTACAAATGCATGGCCTAGTGCACACATGTGCGAATACGCAAACAGTGAAGGAGCTATATGTATCGGCTGTGTTTGCTTTGTATTTTTCGGGCTGCTTGTGTTTTACAGTTAGCTGGGCGTATACATGCCTGTACTCTCAGTACCTGGGAAATGCAGGCAGGCAGGAAAATTGAGTCCTAAGCCAGCCCAGTCTAGGAGAAGGAGATGTGTCTTAGAA